ATGAAGTTTTAGGGCAGACTAATAATATGATCTCTAGGGCCACATTCTTTGTTTCATCTGATTTATTAATCTCAGCTCAATATTCGTTTCCAGAATGTCTTATCTACCCCACAGATTTGTCTATAAAATAAAAACAGCGACTGAATCTTCTGCAAGACTTAAGGGAAGGACAATAGACCAACTGGTGAGAAGTGTTTGAGATGGTTTAGGAAGGAAGTAAACATTTCTGGAGTGGAGACTGGAAATGCAGCAGGGAAGAGGTCATAATTTCTGCATGCAAGGAAAGAGAGAGTGCAGATTTAGATTACTAAAATTTGCCATTCTTTAAAAATGTCAGATTATTTCTGAAAGAACAGTGCTGATAAATTAAGTTGACCAAAATAGGAGAAGAAACATTGGGGTTTTTTTTGTAGGCATCTATGAATTGTACTTGCTTTCTGACAAGCAGGACCAGCTAACAAGTGTATCACTGTCTGATAGTCAGAATTTTACTAATTAGGGAAATTGAGTTTTTCCACTGACAAATATTTGAATGAATACTAAGATAAAAGTCTTAATTAAAGACTAAGAATTAGTGAGAAAATAAGGAGAAAAGGATATAACCTAATTTAAGTTGGCTAGAAATGTTACATTCTTAAACTCACCAAGTCTGAAATACCTCCAGGCAAATAAGATAAACCCTTTCTCTTACCTTCCAGTCATTACCTGGTGGTTTTCCCAGCCATAATTGATCTTCCCAATGTGGAAAAGTTCTGCATATTATTACGCTCCCTCCAAGAGACTAACTATCTGCTGGTGACTTTGGAGTTGAAGAATCAGAACCACACCTTAGCAGAGAAGGACGTGGAAGCACCAGGAACCTTTGAATGTATCCACTTCCAGGCAAGTTGCTCCATAGGAAGTCCTCAACTTCTTAACCAGAAAAAAAAATAGTTTGGAAGGGCATAGGCAAGGCTTTCACTGTTGTCCTGAAAAACTGGATTTGTTGTATCCATCACCTCCCTGCTTCTATCAAATTAGCAAAACCTATCATATGATTTAGTTCCATGTAGAAATTTTTATTTCTGCCATTTCTTTCTTTTTTAAGTTTTTTTTTAAATTTTTGAATATACATCAATATCAATATATGAACAGTGAGGCATCTGAGTATCATTCATTTGGATACAAGTAGTAATGGTAATATTAATAATATTTGTTGCTTAAATCAACTTATGTAATTGTAATGTATTATACATATTTGTGTTAAAATATAGGCCTTCATTATTTAATTGTTCAGCATTTTAGTTCGCCCTTCTCATGACAATAACAATATCATTAAAACATACATAATGTCACCATCTTTCAACATCTAATCTTTGCATCTAGCTATTAGTCATTTCTGGTGGCATGTTGTGGTTAGCCGGCAGCAGGTACAGACGGCTGAGGAGAGCGAGGACTCAGATGAGGGGCCAGGACCATTAGGGAGTGGACTGCTGCCTTCAGAGATTATGGGGGCTGGCAGCAGCAATGAGGAGGTTCCCGAGGAGCCTGTGCCAAGAGCACATGCGCGCAGGTCTGATCAAAGGAAAGAACAGCTGCAGCAGCATGGGCGACTCGGGAATAAGGCTGCAAGGTAATGGCCACTCCTTCAAAAAGATAAAAGCCAGCTGTGAATCAGACGTTCTTTGTAGGAAGCAAAAACGTTTTGAAATTCCAGCCTCGTGGACATTGCAGTATCTTAGTTGGTATTTGAAGACTCTTGTGTTGTGAAATATTTCTTATCCGTGATTCTTGGTAGTCTCGCACAGTTTTGGGGAAGTTTGTACTTATCAAAGTTGATTAGTTTGCAGCAGCTTTTTAATCGGGGATTCATAAGACTCATTAAAAAGTTTCTGTTCCCTTTGGTTATTGTTTGTTTTATTGGAAAAGGGTTTGGGTCAGAACATGGCATGGAATGAGGCAGGGATATCTGCAGGGTATAATTTAAAAAAAATGGCATCCATGATGGTGAGGTTGAAACACTACCTATTATTTCTATGTGTCATATTGTCACAGGCAGAACTTGCACAGTTTTGGCTGCCAACTTTCTTGACTGTATACTGTAGACATCTGAAATGAGGGGAGGATAGACAAACATTGGCCTCTAGAATAGTATTTCACAACCTTGGTAACTTTAAAATGTATGGATTGCATTTAAAGACAAAAAAGAACAGCTACTGCAACCTTGCAACCTTGAAGCTGCTCAGAATTCCCCATCCAGTGTGCATCTTAAAGTTGCCAGAGTTGAGAAACAAGGCTCTAGAACAGGGGTGTCAAACTCAAGGCCCGCAGGCTGGATCCGGCCCTTGAGGTATTTAGATCTGGCCTGTGGGGCCACCTTGGAAACAGCAAAGGACTGGCCTGCAGTGCCTCTGCCAGTAAACATGGAGCTCATGAGAGCCATCCATGGTTCTCCCAAGCTCTGTTTTCGCTGGCAGAAGGTTGCAGGAAGCCGTCGCAACCAGAAACAGCTCGGGAGCCTGTTTTTACTGGCAGAGTGCTTCAGCCACCACAGGCGCCCCTGACATGAGTGACATTGAGCTGGCCACGCCCACCCCAGCCATGCCATGTTTATAGAGTAAACATATTTTAGGAAAGTAGCATAGATGCAACATGTAGCCTATTTATTTTGGTGGCGTGTGAATACATTTAAAAGACTGTACTAAACTTTTTTTTTCCCTTCAGGCACCAAGCTTTGTTTCCACAAGCAGGACTTATTATGGCGTAAGTTTTGTCCCACCTAACAATCCTCTTTTTTCTAATTCAATTATTCCCATCTTTAGGAGGTTCTTTTTTTAATTCCAGTAATCTCCAACTGGCATCCCTCTGGCTATGGAAGGATTAGCATGATTGAAGAACACAAAAAAAGTCCAAAAGGAGGGAGAAAAATGGGACAAAGATACTCAGGAGAAAGACCATTTTGGGTGTGCCCCTATGTGTATGCAGAGACACCCCACTAGTGTCAAATGCTGATGCTGTGACATCACACAAGTGTGTGAAAGCTTGTGTCTTGAGGATGCAGTGTTGTTGTTTTTTATTTTAATGGCAGTGCTAGATCCTGGAGTGATTGTGGGTGCCTGCATCTGTAGTTTGAGACCCAGCTAAGGGAGGGAGATAGAGAACTGAGTACTTTTCTGTTCTTAGTCATCCTATTAAGAAAACCTGCTCTTCTCTTTCTGATGAAGGAAGAAGCAATAGCCAAAGTGCATATTCTAATCCGAAAGGGCACCACTGTGACTTTTGAGGCCCAGAAGAAAGTGCTACTCAAGAAAGCTTCTCCTAGGAATCTTATACAACCCAGCAAGGCCTTATACAAGCCTGGAGAGATAGGTAAGCACAAATCCTTTACTACAATCTGGAATAGCTTCAAAACTGGATCTATGGAGAGGAGAGTAAGCACTGCAGGAGTGGGTAATTAAAACAGCTCCCTGCCAGGAGTCCGGATTCTCTGCTGATAGTTTTTAATCTACCCTGAGCAAGATTTTCTTAATAAAAGATAAATGTTTGAAAAATCAGAATGTCACTAATATGAAGTGAAAACATTTAAAAAGGGGGAAAGGAAGTACTGTTAAAATAACAATATTTTCATATTTTTTTCCCAGTCAAATGGCGCATTGTAAGGCTTGATGATGAATTTAAGGCCATTGATAAAATAGTGAGTAGTGCTTTCTATTATATGTGACTGCTGTTAATGGGCAACTCTACTAAAACATAAGTATCAGGAAAGTTGAAAAAAAAAATAACTGATGACCATTTTTCACACAACCATTGCAGCATCCCCATGGTCATATGATCAAAATTCAGATGCTTGGCAACTGACTCATATTTATGATGGCTGCAATGTCCTGGGGTCATATGCACCTTTTGCACCTTCTGATAACTAACGGCAATGAGAAGCCAGATTCACTTAACAACCATGTTACTAATTTAATAACTGCAGTGATTCAGTTAACTGTGGCAAAACTCAGTTAACAATTGTCTCACTTAGCAACAGAAATTCTGGGCTCCATTGTGGTCATAAGTCAAGAATTACCTTTATTTCTATGAACTTATGCAGAAACCCTGAAAGTCATTAAAATTTTTCTGTTTCTTTGAAATATATTTTTCTCTTTCTCCTTTCTTAACAGATTCCTCTGATACAGCTGAAGGTAAAATTACTTCTCTTATTAAAATTCTTTCAATGACCTCAGGAAGCCACTTAATGTATTTATGATATAGATTTAATGGCAGAAATTGAAAATTTTCAGATTAATAAATTACAATTCAGCAGTTCTCAAAATTAACGTTTAAGGAAGGTGCTGGGAAATTTTGGTAAAAGACCAAAGACTACAGTAGAGACCTACAATTCTAGTACTCTCTAATTGGTGTTATCAATTAATCAAAGTTTTATTGCAGGCTTTGACCAATTTGGGAAAATATAAACATAAAATTAAAACAGTAACACTAAAATGTAAATGAAGAGTTATGAATTAAAAGTATTATTGTTATTACCGTGTTTCTCCAACAATGCGGCCTCCACCAATAGGAAGGCCTAGCATGATTTCTAGGCATGAGGTGAAATTAAGCCCCGCCCCCAAAATTTAGGCCTATTTAAACCATGTGTTTCCCCACCATTTCTTACATCGTTCGTAAGAACTACACAAGGTGAAGAGAAATGGGGGGGGAGGGAAGGGCGGGAGAAAACTTGCCTTTAGGAGCGCCATGCAGGTAGCCTAGGCTAGAATACCCAGATCTATTACCAATAGAACATCGGCTGATAGAAGCTCCCCGAAGGCAGAGTCACCAGCCACTTCTATTGGCTGGTAGAAGCGGCCTTGGGCTGAGCACCCGTGTGCACTCCCCTCACTACGAGGCCATTTCTACTGGCCAATGGAAGCTCCCCAAAGGCAGAGTCACCAGCTCCTATAGGCCAGTAGGAGAGAGAGAGAGAGAGAGAGAAGGAGGCATCGCTGAAGTTCTCAGACTCCCCCCAACTATTAGCAACGCCACCCGTGAGCTGTGGCAGGATTGCCTCGGATCATGTGCAGAATGCCTTCGCCATTCAACTCACCCCCACAACTCAAAGTTCATACTAAAATTAGGTCTTTCCAACCAGCCCCTGCAAATATTCAGCCCTCACCAGAGCAATAGAAAGGAGTGGAGGAGAGGAGGATGTTTAGCTTCTCCATAGAGCTGCTGCGAGCATCCAGAGTGGGAGGTGCTCCAGTCTCCGCTCTTACAGGCTGAGCTAGAATTGAGGAACGCTCCTCTTCCTCCATGTGACGCCTCCGTAGCATTCCCCAGTTTTAGCTCAGCCTCGCAAGAGACAGGCAGCATTAGCAGTTCTTCCTTGGCCGATTCAGGATTCTTTATCTTTAAGTCTCAAGTTTGATTTTTCCTTTCCTTCTTCCTTGGTCCCTGCGCATTTGGCTTGTCTTGTATTAGCGAAAGGAGCGATATGGGGGTTTTGGAGCCTTTTGCCCCCCCACCCCCCCATTCTGATCTCTGCCGCTATTAAGCCGTCCTGCCCTTAAGCATTGACTTGTATTTGCACTTTCCATCGTGCTTCGTTGTGCCTTCCCCCCACAAACGCAATTGAGAGAAGGCAAGCTTTCTTCTCTTCAGCCCCTCTTTTCGCCTGCATTCAGGCTAGTTTTTGTTGTTGCTTGAGGGGCTTTTCCATCTCTGAGTCTTCGCGTCGGTTCTGGCTGCCATTTTGGGCACGCCTCGTGGCCGGCCGCCATTTTGTTTATTGTCGATCTCGCTGCAGTTGACTGTGGAGGCCCATAGCAGGACCGGCAGGCCTGCTTAGAGCATACTTGTCAAAGGGGTATTGTGGTTCTGAGCCCTGTTGCCCCTCATTAATACTTGTTGGCTATTCCCGCAGCCTACTCAGAGGCGAAGATTAAGGCACCAACTTCCCATTTTGCTTGGGAGGCTGCCTCATGAGGCTTTTTCTTTTGTTGTGCTTTCTGGCCTCAGCGTTCATTTGGTTCATTGGCTAATTAGAATTATTCGTTCATTTTTTTCTTGTTTCCTTAATTCTTTCTTTCAATTGGCATAACCCCTCAGCCTACAGTTCTGTTAGACCTGTTTGGTCTCATCCCTCTCCAAAAAATAAAAAATAAAATAAATAAAATAAATAAAATAAATAAAATAATAACATAACATAACATAACATAACATAACATAACATAACATAACATAACATAA